CCCCGCCTCGCAACATGTAGCCCCGCGACCCCCTCCTCCTCGCAGCCACGACCCCTCGATCGAGGGCAGGTTTGGGAAACCCGCTCCTCTTCCCCCTCCTTCTGGGGGACCGCTGCCTCATCTCGTCGGTTTGTAACAACCGCGCCTCCCCAGATTGTGTGTTTAAAAAATAACAGTGAGGCTCACAGTGTAGGATAGGTCAGTCTTTCCTTTTTCTGTTGTTGTTGTTGCCGCCGCCCTTAGAGTGAAGCATTTACGCTGCCTCGGGCAAGTCACTTAACCTTTTCTGCCGTTTCCCCCATCAGCAAAATGGGAGGATAACTGCCCCTCACAGGGGTGCTGCCAAGATGAGTTAATGTTTCCGAAGGGTCCCACTAGCGTGAAGTGTTGTTCGTTAACTCTCACGACACACTGACAGGAGAGTTTGGGACCTTTTACACACGCACGGATGAACAGACACAGGCATGGAGAGATTGTGGCTGACCCCAAGTGACACAGAGTCCATGACAGTCAGCAGCTGGGGGGGCTTATGGCACCCCACATTTAATTCTTGTGGTATGTTCCCACTAATACATGCTGCTGTGTTTACACCTGTAAAACCAACATCTTTTCCCCCAAAGATCATTGACCCCCCCCCCCCAAAGTTATGATTGTGCTTTCTAGTTGGATGGTTAGAAATGCTGAGAGCACAGCCGACCTGCGCTTCTTGCCTACCTGTAGATATTCGAGATACTGTAAACGCTCCTTGCAAGACAGCGCGGCAGCTCCCAAGTCCGGGCCAAATTCAGGCAGATTACATAACTCATTCTTCGCTTATTTCACCCGCCTCAAAATATATAGTGTGGTATTGTGGTTGAAACTTAATCCTTTTCCCACCGGCCTCAGGATAGGGGCCGAAAAACTACTACATTTCACTTTGTAGCTATTCCCCCCCTCTATCCTACAGCAATTTTGTGAGGCTTAGCATCACATTATTAGACTTTTTTTTAAAGTTATTATAGGAGTTCAGAATGTAGTATTGTGATTTTATTATCTTAAAAATGCCCATACAAAGTGATGACTACTTTCCATCTTGAAACCTACTCTCAGGCTAAGGGGAGAAGAGGCATCGCTATGCAAGAGGTCTTGTTCTGTTCATAGAGAAGCAGGGCTGGAAGGGACCTCCAGAGCTCTAGTCCAACCCCCATATTCTCTAAAATGAGATGACAAGATAAACTGTACTACTTATTTTCAGGTAGGCAAGCTGACTAGTACTCTCAGTTCCCTTTTTAATAATGGTAATTCAAATATACTCTTCAGCCTTGCAGCATCATTCATTATATATTTCCCCCCTCCATAGTAGGTTTGTTGTTTTTTTTTAAAGGATGTCCATAGATGTTTGTCTTTGCTCATCCATTGTTTAGAGAAAACAAGCAAATATTAGAATGGCAGGATAATCTCCAACTTGTAGGAATAAAACATTTATTTTTTACATGAAGCTGTTGGGAGGGGGTGCAGAATGCAGAGGAAGACCACCACAACATGCCTTTGTAATAATAATAATAATAATAATAATAATAATAAAAAAACCCACACAAAAAAAAACAAACAAAAAAACCCCCAAACACCCATGTAGAGGTAGAGTAACAGCAAAAGATGAAACAAAAAGGGTTTGAGCACTAGCTGTTGTAATTAGTTACCTTGAAAGAGCATTAAACTCTTCTTCAAAATAGGTCTTTAAGTTTTAAGAGGAAGAAAAAAAAAAGGAGAATCCCAAAAAAGGATGATTGAAATTTTTCTCTACCTAGACCTTTTGTCACATAACAACATACTTATATATTTTTTAAAAGTGATTTCATACACACTTATATAGGACTTGGGTATTTTCTGAGCAATAACAGTTCCTTTGGATTGTTTGAGGTTTTCAGGAATAGCCAGTTTGCAGAGCAGTCTGTAGGTGCAAAGCAGCAGATAACTGGTTACTTTGGTTTTTACTTATCCTTAGCCACATAAAAGTGACCTGTCATCTAGCTAGAAATTTGTTGTGGCATGCTTTAGGACTCATCTAGTGATTTAATAGAAGTGTACCATTTGCCCTGTTTTGGCTGGTGTTCTAAACCTAAAAGGTATCTTTGGTCTCTGTTTCCATATGGCGAGGAAAACAAAAATATCTGCCCCAAAGCTATCCCATTATAGTTTCATAGTTTCTAGGGTCGGAAGGGACCTG